ACATCTCTTAATGTTCGACGGCTTGTGCACCAGATCTTATTTATTCACGATGTACTTACAAAAAAAATCCACAGACTACCTGCTGGATCTCCTCTCTGTTTCAAAGAACAAATTTGACCTCAGGTCTTCGCTCATTTACCAGCTTCACATTCCCTATTGCCGTACAAAAACTGTAGGAAGGGCCTTTGCTATTGATGCCCCCAGGGTCTGGAATGCTATTGCCAAGTAAACTGCAACTTGAATCGCTACCAAAGAGATCTTCTCTCAAAACTGCTCTAGAGGAGTTGTACACCCCTAGCTGCCACTGCTATTCATTGGCGTAAAATAAAATTAAATGTTTTGCTCCGGATGACGCTGCAAAGTATTATCTGTATTTTGATTTAGCGTGCTGATCTTACAGGTGCATTGAAAAACTTGATACTCCGACTGATGCTTCTGTTGTTGAGCCAGCTTTGGCTCTAGGATTTGGTGTTACATGTTATTTATGTAGTTTAATGTACAAATTCGGTCACAGTTCCTGTGATCACTGTTACATTGCAATTATGGCTTTTTTTTTTGGTGATTTCAAAAAGTTTCTTGATTGGACATGTTTGTTTTGTTGTAGTACAGAGTTAGACTGATCGCCTTAATCTAAGTTTCTTGTGGTTGTTGTTGTTGTTTGACTTGCATCCCACTAGGATTTTTTGCACACAGCGTTGGTGTACGGTGCTTTTTTCAGGAATATTTAGCTGTTTTTTTCATGGATTTTCTGTTTGCAGTCACATAGTCACTTTAAGATGTTTTCTTGTTCGTGTTTTTTTGTTTGTTGTGGTTGCACCCGATTCAAGAGTCGAATGGCTCACAGGGCTATACCAAAATAAATAAACTGAACTGAAACCATGTTCCCATGGCAAGGGCCAGTCTTTCCATAAGATAACCTCCTTAAGCACAAGATAAACTATTTGTAATGGGTGGTATTTCTAAAAACACAAGTAAATGGCACAAACACTTTATTTACATTACCATAAGCCCATTCTAAATGCCCCGTCATTCCCACCCCACCCTTGGCCTAAAGGAACGTCGTCAAAAGCCGAGCCATAATAATTATGCTTGTTAAACCATAAAAGCCTCATGGGCAGCGTCATTACTCTTTTTCAGGAGGGTCCTGCCAAGTTTTTGCAATAGGGTGCTATGTATACATTCGAAATTGGTAATATGCAGGTATTTTTTCTATACCCTCACTCACATATCACAACTACCAAGGGACATCAAAGTGAATGTCTGATTCAGGATATATATGCACCATGTATTTATGCATTCATTGACACATATATTAACAAATATAAATGGTGCCAAACTGATTCTAGTAATATCCAATGGATTAATTGTCAAGTTCATTAAGGTTAGGATCTAACAGTCTCCGGTTTGCCCCTGATCTGCAGATAAACTGTATTTGAGAACTGTGGTTGTACAGCACTTTAATTATCACCTTGATTTACTGCAAAAGGATTTCAATGGAGATTTGCAGCAACACTCAAGCGGAAGTCAAGAGTGCATGTTTAAGTCAAATGTGTAGAATATACATACAATATAATGGGATAAGTCCAATGATGCTAATGTTGACAATTATTTGTGTTTAGGCTTTCACAACTGCTGGTTAAAGAAAAAAATCATGGAAAGTTGGAAGCACAATGTATTATAATTAGCACGTTATTTCCAAAAAATGTGTCCACCTAATTCCTCTCGGTTTATCACCATCAATAATATTCCCGTGACACTAAACATAAAGGCTTCTTTGCCTGTTATATATTTTTAACAAACACTGCGAGGTGATGGAACTTGTAATTTTAAATTCTTAAGTCTATTTGTTGTCCATCTCCTACAAATGCTGAGTGTACGTTGCTATTTGGATTCCTCCAGTATAAATAAAGATTCTGATATTCGTTAATAAAGGTCTTCCACCAAGAGTACATTTATAATCATGATTACAGCCCCCACAAGTTCAATGATGCTATGAACACGACTGGAATTTAATTCCACTTCATGGCAAGATGTGTTCTGTAATCACCTAATTTAGATAATTATGGTAAATTATGCTGAATTTATCTCGATAAACTAAAATTACAATTTCAACAAGTAGGCTCGATGTACAAAACAGGTGGGTGGGACTCCAAGTTTAAGACATTGCAAATAGATCACTTTGGACAAAATGTCCAACAAGGAATCGATTACCTTTTGTGGTTATGGATACCCAAAAAGTGTGGTGCCGTTAACGTGACTGTGGTGGTTGCCTTGATAGCGGCAGTGACCGTGGCGTGTTTCGCGTATAACTACGACTACTAGTGTATTTAGTTATATAGTTATTTTTCAGAAGCAACCTGGCCACATCCGATAGTTCAACGACGTGGCTTGTTATGTGGAAATGTATGGAAGACAAATACTCTAAACAAATTATTCTAAATGTGTAAAGAAACCCGGAGGACACGGAGAAAAATCCACGCGGCTACAGGGTGAACATGCAAAGTGTCAGGGTCGGGATCGAACCCACGACCTCCTGTATACTAAGCAAGGTAGATAACATTTCGCCACAGTGGCGCGATAAGACCCCTTTACTCATCCAGGAGAGTCTCACTGAGCTTCAACTCTTTCCGAGTGGGTGCTGCAATTGGGTAAGATGTTTGGCCGATTAAATAAAAATGTGTTTGTAAGTGGTTGTGAGTGGTGGTGAGTTTAGTGGCTTGGTTTTTATGAGTGTTTATGGTGTAGTGGTGGTCATATAGGTTTTGGTACGTGTAAAAATGGGGGGGGGAATTACAACCTCCACCATTGCACTGTCTGATAATATAAGACTACACTTTTCTCAAACTTTGGGCAATTACCTTACTTCAAAGCAAACACATGTCAAAGTATTGATTTATAGTTAGAGACACTCTACAAAGTGCTGCATTGAACACATTGGGGACTTTCGATTCTTGCGTATGGCAGCAATACTGTTCAGGAGCTAAATGAACCTTATGGCGGGACCCCGGGGTCCCAAATAAACTTAAGGACGAATGCGCAGAAGAGATTAACAAGTAAATGCACTTCATGCTCGGGTATGGGCAGTATCATAAGTCTTATCTAAAGCTGCTCAAACTGCATACACGACTTAAGTCTTTTATTTGTCATCACGGTATGCATAACAGTGAAACTGCTCTCTTCACTTCATTATTTGTGACCTACCAATATCTGCAGCCAGGATCAATCGATGACAATCCTATTACCTGCAGATATTTAACAGATGAGATGCGTTGCACCGTTAATTCCTCCTGTTTGGTAATACTTCTCTTGTCCATATGCATCTGTGCAGATAGGGTTTTTTTATGCGGTTAAGCCATAGTCCCCACATACCGCTCGTATCAATGCGGATAAGAGGAGCGACGACCCACTACTCTGTAGAGTAACATTACTATAAACGCTTGTTGCAATATGAACAGCGCATTGAAAACGCGTACTATTTTATGTACTGTTTACAAAGTGTGTTCACAAATCCATAATGAGAAACACGATGATTTACAGAGGGTGTAAATTATTTTTTCGATAGTGTATTAAAAGAGGTACTGCAGGGAAGTAGTTTTCAGTTTTAAAGGCATAGTTTAACAAGACAACAACACTTGCCACAATCCTTCAAAACCATTGGTGAAAAAGAACAAAGTTTTTGTTTACATTATAAATATAATGTTTATGCGAGAGCCGGGGGCTTATGGGACCCCGGGGTCCCGCCATAAGGTTCAAATGTCAATGTTGAGGTCTGGATAGCCACGAGAAGGCTTCAGGAGAGAGTTCGTGTAGCGTAAATAAAGTGGAAAGTTCTAAGTCGACACTTGAACGATATCTTAACACCGCTGTACTGTAGTTGCATTTTTCTAATACCGTCAACATTGTGATAGTTTACCGATTTGGTGGTTGGCATGTTCGGTGGTATTGTGATTGTCGGTAGTGGCGCTGATGGTTGGCTTGAGGTGGTGGTGGTGTTGTGGTTGGAGGCGGTGTCATGGTTGATGGTGGGGTTTTGTGGTTAACGGTAGTTGTATTTAATTTTTATTGTATTTCATAAGGCCTACTGAACCATGTAGCTCTTTTTTAGAAGCGACCTGGCCACAAATGATAGTTCAACTAAGTGGATTATCACGTGGAAACTGATTAAAGCCAAATACTCTAAATGCGTTTTGCTGATTCTAAATTAGGGAAAACCCGGAGAAAAATCCACGCGACCAGCAGGCGTCAGGGTCGAGATCGAACCCATGACCTCCTGTAGACCAGGCGAGGAAGTTAACATCTCCTAGCCATCGAGGCACCACTGTTGTGGTAGTTGCTTGTCGTGTTGTGGTCGGTGTCGAGGTTAAACTACGTGTGTGCCCCGCTACGGTTCAAGTTATGATTGGCGTTGTGGTTCTGTTTTTTGGAGTTATGCTTGGTGGCGGTGTTGTGGATGCTGCTGTGATTTAAGTTGTGCTCAGCGGCTATCGCTGTTGTGGTTGAGCAGTGTTAATGGAGTTGTAGTCAATTCGCACTTAGAAAGCAATTGCTGCGCTTCAAGTTGTGGTGGCGTTACGCGAGTTGAGATCGCGGCAGTGGGGGGGGGGCTTGGTGGTGCTGTGGTTTGGTCGCGTTATTAAATGCCGGTGAATTCACACCACAATGCAATAGTTGACTCGTGTAGTTTGTAATTGTTTACACTTGTATAACACACACAAAAGCCCTGCGTGAAACATTAACTACCCCTCACCGTAACCCATCCGTGTGGACATCGATGCGGGCCACCTCAGACACAAACGAATCACCACCACCTTCCTCACCACCCCGAACCCGGTCGCCATTACAACCCGCGGGTCACAACTCCCGGACAACGAGAACTTCTCCGAGCCGAAAGCAAAACCAGCCGTCCGAGTCAAGACGGCGCACACACACACACACAACAAGAGGCGGATCACAATGGCTAGCGCACGTCGGCCTGTTCCCGTCAGGCGAGGCGTACTCACCTCGGCGGCGGATGGAGATGGTGGGTAGTGGGGGGGGGGGAAGAGACGGGGAGGGGGACTCCCGATTGCCCCGGGACTCTCAGAGCGTGAGGGAAAACCACCCCCACGCGAGCGTCGTCGTGACGGTAGAAACGAACAACGGCGAGGAATGGTGGTATCTCTGGCGGAAAATTATAAAAGTGGCGGGAAGGGATAGCGCCGCGCCAGCCCAGCGTGCGCGCCGGACTCCGCCGTGAACAAAAGGCGACGGCGAGCGGCGAGCGCGTATCCCTCCGCGCCCTCGGAGTGACGAGGCGGGCGCTGTGGGGGTGGGGGGGCGGCTCACACGGCCCCGAGGCCGCGTCACACCGCCACCGCCCCGCCCACACTCGCTTTGGGTCCTCGTCGCTTTGGCGCCTTGCGCCGACAAGAAGTAGTCCAATCCCGCCTCGGTTGTTGCGGTTTTTTTATTTTTAAAAAAACCTCATATTAGGGCGCAGCACTTGAAAAATAAATACTATTCGAGCAAGCGTGTCAATTATGTCGGCTATGCTTCACCACCAACGCTGGCCAGCGCGAGTTGGTGGAAGGCAAGAGTGGTTCTGAGCGCTGTGAAAGTGAAACCAAATCGTTCTGGATGATGAACAAGTTTTGCTCGCTGGAGGGACGGGCGGACGGAACGTGCGAGCTGTCATTAAAATACATTTCTGCGCATATGATGTGAATGCTGAGGGCTTATTTTTGCTACGTCTTTCGTTACACAAAAGGGTCGATAACACATAGTTATCAGTTTGTTTAGTAGTGCTTGTGGTGTACGCGTACCCGCCAACCCATACGGTTTAACCCGTATTCTTGTACAGGGAGATTGAGTTTTAAGGTCCATACGGCGTACAGCCGTTTCAATACGGGGAAAAAAAACCTAATTTTGTCTATTGTTTGTGTTTCTCCCTTGTGATGGGACTTGGTAGGATGTACGTTGAGATTTATAGGGGCACGGGGCACTGGCAGAGCCAGTGGGAGTGCGGTGGCACGTGCCCCCCTCCCCAATGATCCGATCGAAATCCCTAATTTCGATCGGATCATTGGGGTTTATTAGTAACTTTACTACCCGGCTTCGCCCGGGACTTGGATTCACCACGCCCGGCCGCCTTTGTCTCCCCAGTGGCGATGTTCACACACCGCACCAGTTACTCGTTTGAGGCTGAGTCGACCTAGGGGAGGCCCAGGAGCGGTTAAAATAATCGTCACCGGTGGTGACCGTGAGCAGGAATCAAACTACACGACACTACCGCTCCCCCCACACACACACACGCGCGCGTCCATAGGTACACATACACGCGCTTGCTGCAGACACACGCAACTTTCAGGGTGCGTACGGCAGTAAACGACTGAAATAATGAAGCAATGCTGCGCGAAGAACGCCTTAGACCTGCAACACATTTGTATGGCACTTTACCCGCGGAGGATTGAGGTGGGGGGGCGTGACATGAGCCGGCACACTCCGTCACGCTTCAGCATACGGGTCACATGACAGGTGTGACGTCACAGCTCACTTGCCGTGCAAAATCTATGCATAATTGCGCCCCCACCCCCCCACCCCAAAAAAAATACAAAAGTCTATTTTTATAATGTTTGCATGGTGTACAGTCTGGAAAGTACCCACATGGCTAATTTCAAGTTTGTTGCATGTCGGGAAGTACGCTAAAACAGACACACAATCACAAATTTCCCTTTTGTATATAGATAAATCGGCATTTTGCGACCCCCACTACCACTGTGTAGTATATTATTACGTACCAGGGACTCTATGCGATGATAGGACAATAGTCTGAGTCCATAATTGGCAATAAGTAACGGCAAAGCAGTTATAAGTGACTCACAGAATTGTGCGCTGTTGCGTATACAGTACACGACTTCCCTGAAGGCATGCACCTTCAGCGGGCGCGATTGTGGTGTCACAGCAACGAAGCAACTCCGCCAGCGCTGCTATCCCCTCACACCCCTCGACACGAACGCACGCACACCCCACTAAACACACACATGGTACCATGGGTTTTTACCTGAGGGGCCTCTAGTGGGGATGTCCCACGGTTTCCCAGTGCCAGGAGATTGGCCGACCCCCCCCCCCAGGCCGAATTGCATTGTGGCCCCCGTGAAATAGCTTAAAATTGTATGGGCACAACAAGGGCCCACCGAGCGAACCGCAATGAGAACACTCACAGCACAGGGAAATACAGTGAGGGAAAAAAGTATTTGATCCCCTGCTGGTTTTGTACGTATGCCCACTGACAAAGAAATTATCAGTCTATAAATTTAATGGTAGGTTTATTTGAACAGTGAGAGACAGAATAACAACAACAAAATCCAGAAAAACGCATGTCAAAAATGTTATAAATTGATTTGCATTTTAATGAGGGAAATAAGTAGTTGACCCCTCTGCAAAACATGACTTAGTACTTGGTGGCAAAACCCTTTTTGGCAATCACAGAGGTCAGACGTTTCTTGTAGTTGGCCACCAGGTTTGCACACATCTCAGAAGGGATTTTGTCCCACTCCTTTTTGCAGATCTTCTCCAAGTCATTAAGGTTTCGAGGCTGACGTTTGGCAACTCGAACCTTCAGCTCCCTCCACAGATTTTCTTTGGGATTAAGGTCTCGAGACTGGCTAGGCCACTCCAGGACCTTAATGTGCTTCTTCTTGAGCTACTCCTTTGTTGCCTTGGCCGTGTGTTTTGGGTCATTGTCATGCTGGAATACCCATCCACGACCCATTTTCAATGCCCTGGCTGAGGGAAGGAGCTTCTCACCCAAGATTTGACGGTACATGGCCCCGTCCATCGTCCCTTTGATGCGGTGAAGTTGTCCTGTCCCCTTAGCAGAAAAGCACCCCCAAATCATGTTTCCACCTCCATGTCTGCGGTGGGGATGGTGTTCTTGGGGTCATAGGCAGCATTCCTCCTCCTCGAAACACGGCGAGATGAGTTGATGCCAAAGAGCTCCATTTTGGTCTCATCTGACCACAACACTTTCACCCAGTTGTCCTCTGAATCATTCAGATGTTCATTGGCAAACTTCAGACGGGCATGTATATGTGCTTTCTTGAGCAGGGATACCTTGTGGGCGCTGCAGGATTTCAGTCCTTCACGGCGTTGTGTGTTACCAATTGTTTTCTTGGTGACTATGGTCCCAGCTGCCTTGAGATCATTGACAAGATCCTCCCGTGTAGTTCTGGACTGATTCCTCACCGTTCTCATAATCATTGCATCTCCACGAGGTGAGATCTTGCATGAAGTCCCAGGCCGAGGGAGATTGACAGTTCTTTTGTATTTCTTCCATTTGCGAATAATCGCACCAACTGTTGTCACCTTCTCACCAAGCTGCTTGGCAATGGTCTTGTAGCCCATTCCAGCCTTGTGTAGGTCTACAATCTTGTCCCTGACATCCTTGGAGAGCTCTTTGGTCTTGGCCATGGTGGAGAGTTTGTAATCTGATTGATTGATTGCTTCTGTGGACAGGTGTCTTTTATACAGGTAGCAAGCTGAGATGAGGAGCACTCCCTTTAAGAGTGTGCTCCTAATCTCAGCTTGTTACCTGTATAAACGACACCTGGGAGCCAGAAATCTTTCGGATTGAGAGGGGGTGAAATACTTATTTCCCTCATTAAAATTCAAATCAATTTGTAACATTTTTTACATGCGCTTTTCTGGATTTTTTTGTTGTTATTCTGTCTCTCACTATTCAAATAAACCTACCATTAAAATTATAAACTATCTTTGTCAGTGGGCAAACTTATAAAATCAGCAGGGGATCAAATACTTTTTTCCCTCACTGTAGGGCCTCGGGGGCAAACGCTCAGCGAGCAGCGCATAAGAGGAGGTGGGGGGGGGGAAATTCCTGAGCCGACTGAAGCTGGACATCCGCGGGACAGCCACCCCGACCAAACCGGGAGTGGCGGGGGTGGGGAGGGCGGGTACGTAAACAACGGGTGAAGGCGCACCGGAAGATATCGTTCCAGGTAAGGGCGGGGCATTGGTTTAAAATCAAAAGGTAGGTGCCCGATTGGCCGCGCAGGGTAACACCACGTGACCCTGGATTTTTGGATTCGGAGGGGACAAAGGGAGGGAAGATAAAAAACGTTGGGCAGTTTTCCTCGAGCGGTAGAGCTACCCGGTCTGACTCCCAGCCGCTCGCAGCGTCCGAGCGACGCTGGCGAGTGCCGCTACAACTCGACCCCAGGCATAGACCTCTCATGCCCTCGTTCCTCCGACTCCCACAGCATCCGTACGACCCCGTGGCTACGTCTGCGAGGTGAGAAGTAGGGGGAGAGTACACTTAGGGATTGAATAGGGATAGGCTAGGCACTGCTCGTTGGGTATTTACTCCGGACCGAGCAGGGCTTGCTATACACGCGCCAGTAATAAACTTTATCACAGAGCACCGATGCCGTATGATTTCTGTGTGTGTGGGGAGAGCATAGGTGTGGTGCGAGTATGTGCGGGCGTGTGAAGCGCGCATGTATTCAATCATAAACGATCGCTTACGCTCGCGTGCGTGTTTACACAGCGCATTTTACGCAGTGTGTTTACGTAGTGACGATTGCATCAACGGTGGGGTGCGAGTATATTATCACTAATACGGCCATCGTTTTGCCCGCGTGCCTGTGCCCACGTGCGTGTTTGCACAGCGGATTAAAGCCGACCCCACAGGAGGGGGGAGTGGCGCGTGCATATTCATACGGCTATTTTTAGCGTGAGCCGTGGCTAGCAAGGTGCGGCTCCTCGGGCATGCGCGTGCACGCAGCCACCTCCGCATTAGTGGTGGTGTAGATGGGGAGTGCGTGGGATAACTCCAGGAGGTTGGGAGCCAGCCACTAGCCATGTCCCTCAGAGAGGACGCTGGTGCGGGGAGGCCGATCACCTGATCGGCGGCAGGCCGGCGAGAAGAGGCGGAGGAGGAGGGAGGAGAGAAGGAGGGGGCATCAGCCCCCACACGATGCCGATCATACGGTTCGAATTAGACCCTCGATCGATGGCTGCGCAATCGCCGCACACGCGTCGAATAAAAAGTAAGGGACAAGTCCTTACTAACAACTATCATTTTTCATTTCTGGAGGGGTTGCCCCCCTACCTGAAAATCCTGGCTCTGCCATTGGCTCGGGGTGAGTAATAAGGTGTGAATTGGTCTGTAACAATGTAGGCATATAATGGGTTGACAGGTATGTGTATGTTGAACTTATTTCGGACTGTATGTAGCCAACTGTGCTAATCGGAGGTGCGGTGTGAAATTCCGATGAATGCTCTATCCCCTTTTCATAGGGAATGTGGAGTTTCAACCGCTGGTTTAG